AGAGGAGAGAGGAGAGGAGAGGAGAGGAGAGGAAGAGGGGGGAGAAAGAGAGAGGGAGAGAAAGAAGAGAGGGAGAGAGAGATGAAGATAGACAGGGGGGAAGAAAGAGAAGAAGGGGGGAGAGAGAGAGAGAGAAAGAGAGAGAAACATCTGTGTATCCGCACCAGAAAAAGGGAGACTGTAGGGTTCAGGATGGGTGTGCAGGAATTCTCGGTTTGCTTGAAGGTGAGCATGTGAGGGTGAGGAGAGTGAGTGAGAACATTCGAGCAAGACCCGCCCCCTCCCTCCCCGTCTCGTCTCGCAGTTTCTAGGCATGCAGCAAACTGCATTGTTAATACATGTACAAGAATCTGTGCCATGACGTGTAGAGGAAAGAAAGCCACAAATGTCAATTTGTTTCCCCCCCTCCCCTTTTCCAAATAAAACTACAACTAAAAAATAAAATACTGGGGGGCGGGGGGGAAGACACATTGATTTTTTTTTTTACTTAATTAGGATCAATACAACGATCTCTAATATACCGTATACATGGCACAGTCAAAGTCTCAAGGTTCAGTATAAAAAAATAATGGTAACATTTGCTGGCAAAAGTCTGCGAAGGCACTTCATTGATTAATGATCTGAGTATGGCCCTTCCTCCAAATCCCATTTGAGAGGGGGCAGGCATACATTTGAAATCTCTAGATAGGATACGCTTTCAGTTCTTTTCAGGGCAGGGAAGGTTACGAGGACACGTTAGGTTACTGGGACACGTGTAAAAGGAGAATGGGATATATTTCTTTTATTTTCCTTTTCTTTTTAGGGACCAAAAAAAAAAAAAAAATACCAAACCAAAACAACCAACCCACTCATTTCTGTTTCTTCCTCTTTTAGAACCTGTATGTTGTCTTCTCCAGGACTTCGAGGTAATCCGGCTTGGTTTGAAGTTTGGCCCTTAACTCGAGGTAATCACTTTTTTGGGTTTGGTGGTCTGTGAAGCCCTTTCCAGCCGAGAAGAGAAGGGTTTCTTTGAGCCTGGCGTCTTGCTGTAAGTCTGGGTATTGCATGCCAGGAGGGTGCACGTGCAGTTCCTTTAACTTGGGCACTGTACCATAGAGACAGTCCACAAATCCTACGGTGCAGGGGGCTGGCTGAGACCTTTCCCGGTCTAACAGCAGACTGCCACCCCCACAGCCTCCCCCAGGAGGGAACAGCACCACCCCACCATTCTTCTCATGGTGGCGGAACCCAGCCAAGTCTCCCCCAGTCCCCCCAACAACTCCTGAAAGCCCGCCAACGGCTGGGTGGTGAGGGTGTGGGTGCGGATGATGGTGGTTGACCGTCACTATGGTGTTGAGCTGTGAGCTGGACACGGCCAGGGCCCACTCCTTCTCCTTCTCCAGCAAGGTCCGGTAGTTGGTGTGGTTCTCCTTGGCGGTCTCAGCAAACTGCTCACTGCCCAGGAGGGCCTCGGCCATCCCGGGCGGTTGTGTCCCAGGACCCCCACGTTCTGCACCCCCGGGTTCCTGGACTGATGAAACGGGGACCCCCTCCTCCTCCTCCTCCCGAGGCTTGTAGATGGGGTTGTTGCACATCTGGGTGACGGGGTGGGGGATGTACTCGTACACGTGACCCACGGGAGGGGCCTTCTCGGGAGAGGAGAGAGTGGGTCTCCCCCCACTTCCACCTCCTCCCCCACCGCCTCCGCCGTCCTCAAAAAGCCGGTGGCATTGCATCTGGATGCCGGTGAGGTCCACCCCCTCCTGCCGCTTGCTCCGGAAAGGTAGCTTCTTCCGACGGCGCCGGAGCACGTAGGCGAAGAGGCCCGCGGCCACAAACACTGCGGAGAAGAACAGAACCAGCAGGCTGAGGATCAACACGGAGAGGGGCACCGGGCCCCCAGGGGGAGAGAACTCATAAGGCGAGGAGCTGGTGGGCCCCCCAGCAAGGTGGGGGTCTCCAGGCTGGGCCGGGGATGCACCAGCAGGGGCTGCGTGTAACATCTCCGGGCAGAGGACTTCCAGCTCGACGGTGCGCACATCACGGTGGGTGAGGTTCTCGGGGCTCCCGCACAGCACGTCGCCCACCACGCTCACCGAACTGATGGTCTCGATCCACTGCTTGAAGGGGACCAGGTCACACGTGCAGTCCCAGGGATTCTCATTGAGGTCAATCTGGACAATGGCGTTCAAGTGCTCCAGGACGCCGGCCACGGGCAGGTAGAGGAAGTAGTTCTTGCGCAGATTGAGCCTGGCGAGGGAGGTACCTGCGAAGGCATCGGTGGGCAGGGTCCTCAGCAAGTTGTTGTTGAGGAAAAGCAGCTTCAAGTTGGGCATGAGGCTGAAGGCCGCAGGCTGGATTTCTCGGATGACATTGAACTCAAAGTACAAGTAGTGCAAACTCTGTAGGCCCCGGAACATGCCTGGGGTGAGCTTTTCAATGTCATTGCCGTTGAGAAAGAGACTCTTTAGATTGGGGAGGTTGATGAAGGCGCCATCCTGGACGTAAGAAATCCGATTGTTCCCGAGATGCAAGAGATCCAAAGAAGAAAAATTCCAAAAATCAGACCGATATATTTTCTGAATCAGATTGCTACTCAGATACAATTTCTTGGCATTCAATGGCCTTGGAAGAAGTTCAGAAATGTTATTAAATCCCCTTTCTTTGCAGTTGACTGTCAAGCCAAGGTCATTGATGTGCAAATTACACGTGCACCCAGTGGGACATATGATGGGAATGGGTGGTCTGGTCTGGTAAGGCGCGATGGGAGGTTGGTTCGGACCAGGATATAAAGCTTGCGATGTGGAAGGTGGCCTCGGTGTTCGGGGCTGTTTGGTGGGCTTGGGCTGTTTATTTGAAGATTTATATTCAACAGAGGAGGCGGTAAAATGGACTGAAGACAGCATGGAAGAAGGTTTAGTTGGCCAGGCGTTCTCCTTGCTGGATGACAAATGGGGGATCCCCAAACTAGCCTCCACCTCCGAGTCAGACAGCAAGGGACAGAGTTCTGCTTTCCTGATTTCTCGGAGGTCCTTGCCATGGAAGTGGAAAGGCGTCTCGCAGGTGATGTCCCCCACCAGTGCCGTGTAAGGGATGCGTTCCAGCCAGCTCTTCAACTGCACAATCTCACACGTACAGTTCCAGGGGTTTTCTTCCAGCTGCAGTTCCATCAGGCTCCTGCCAATGTGATCCAGCATGCCTCGGTAAAAGAGGACCTTCAGCCTGTTCCCACGGAGGTCCAAATGGGTTAAAGAGACAGCCTTAAACAAATTGGTGGGAAGCATGGGTATAAGATTATCATTTAAAATCAGAACCCTCAGTTTACTTAGGTTCCGAAATGCCCCGCTCTCAATGCGTTTAATGACGTTGTAATCTGCCTGCAGATACTCCAGGCTTTCCAATCCGAGGAACGTGTCATTCCGGAAGACATCGAGCTTATTCTCATGTAAGTAGAGCCTCTTTAAAATCTTCAGACCGTTGAAAGCTCCCGTTTGAATGTCCTGCAATGCATTGTTCCCAAGGTTAATGGACACAGCGTTATTCAAATGTAGAAAACTGTTGGTATACAATTTCCTCATTGAATTCCTCTGCAGATACAGTTTAAAAGGTCTTGACCAGAACTCGGTAATCTGACTAATATTTGTAAATCCCTTACTGTCACAATGTATATGAAAGAGGCTTTCTTTAACTTCACAGTAGCATGGATCGAAACAGGGTTCATCAATTTCCTCCGAGTCCTCTATCAAGGGAATCGGGGTAGTCCATCCCAGAGCAACTGTGCTTAGAAGAATTATCCACAACATCCTCCCTCTGGGAAGCATCTCAGCTCTGGAAGTTTTCATTGTTCGTTGTTGATTGCAAAACTGCAACAGAAATAAAGATGCAAATTTTTAGCTTTCGTCATATGCGTGATCTTAATAAACTCCTACATGTGGGGTTTTTTTAGGGAGTGCCATAAAAACTCCAGCAATTGTTGAGATGACATTTATAACGAGCCGGCAACATGTTTAATGTTTCGAGTGTGTCCTATATTTTAAATTTAGGAGACCCTGAAATACAGAAGCATGTGTTGACATTTTCCTGAACTAAGCCATACTCGGTACAAGAAATATAATATGAACAAAAACCAGTCTGCATGTGCCTCTTATAGAAAACAAGGGCCCTAGTATGTCACAGTACCATCTTTCAAGCATAGGCCCTCTCCCTAAAGATGGCAATACTTTGTCCAAGACACCTTTTTGCCTGTTCAAACTCACATTAACATCAGAGGTGCTCATTATAGAGACAACTGGAACTGTGATAGGAAAAACATTCTTCAAACTATACATTTATACTCATAAATGATGTGGAATATCTCTAAAATTTTAGGGGGAAAAGCATGATAAACTATGGGTCAACTGCCCAATACCAAACGTTGAGCTGTGTAAAATGGTTGATATCTCGGGAAACCGTAATATATCCCTTAAGAATTGATCACAAAATAGTTATTAACATTTAATGGTCAGTAACATGCCACACATAGATGGATCACTGAAGTCTCCCTTCATTAAATAAACAACCTCTATCTAATTGTTTCAGTCAGCTTTGTAAAGCCTTTAGAAATGATGATCCGCTCTAAAGAACATTCCCAAGCAATTGTCAGAGCTAAAGATAGTGACAGTTAAAGGATGCTAAGCCTGGGAGTGTCTGTATTAAAATACTTGCAGAGCTCAGTTTGCACTGTGTATCTGTGCCTCTCAGATCAAACTGAGGAGCCTTATAAAAAGATGGAAGGGCAGCTTACTGGTTAGAGGACAAGGGAGGAGTTAAAAGAAAGGGAGGGTGGAAACCTTGCTTCGTGCCTATTAATATATTAGAAGAGCACATGAAATACAATTGAAAGAAAGACATCAATCTTTTCACATCATATGCAGGGCTCTATTCTAGGATTCAGAGCCTGCCTCTGAATCTGTTCTATTCTTCCTTGTCTTGCTTCATTCCACTGGAGTATGGGAATACGTATATAAATGATAATAACGGGTTTATTAGAGTGTCCCTCTTGAATCCCTGAAATAGCAATCATAATGGAATAGATGGATGCCTTCAATCAATAAAAACAAACCAAAATGTTGGCTTTATCTCATCTCCCCACACACAGATACAAACATAAAGGAAATAATTTGTCAGCCATCTAACTTGGAACACAATGCTATAATCCACAGTGAAAGTGAAAAAAGAATACATCTTCACAGCCACCCTGCATATAATATACACAGCTGTAAGGAATAAGTGAGAAAGCAGAGAAGCATTTGCCTTAGGCATGCAATACTCAGTTTTTAGAAACAACTAAATGAGAAGACGTATGAAGCCACGTTGCAGAATCAGTCTTCCACATTGCAGAATCAGTTAGTCTTCCCTGTCTCTCTTATAAAATATTAAAATTTACTTAAGTTGTTGCGTCTTCATTATCTTTTAAATTCTTTCTTTCTTTTTTTTTTCTTTTTGTTTCGATTTTGAGCTCCCTGAGCTTTAAGCAAGATAGGATCTAGATGTCTTTCACTTACCTATTTTGCAGATTTTTTTTAAGAACATGGGAAGGTGGGGGGCAGCCTGAATTTAAGGATTCTCTTTTACCCTCTCCCTCCAAAGGAAAAGGGGGGCGCAAAAGGGGTGGAGGGAGAGGAAGACTAAGAGCAGCAAGCTCGAAACGTGCTGGGAATGCAGTAGACCCTTCAATGGGCTTCTTCAGGACGCAGAACTGCTGCTTGGCACAGTCCATGGAGGAGGGAGGAGAAGGGGCCCGCTGCAGGCTTCCAGCTCCACCGTTCCCACTGCTGCGCGCTCAGGGTACCTCGAGCACATCTCTGGGCGCAGGGAGGAAGACAGGGAGGAAGGCAAGGAGACAGGGAAGCTCAACCACAGTGCAAATCTCGGACTTTTCTCGCGCAGCATTTTTTTGGGGGGGGAGGGGAGGGAAATGTGCTGTAACCCAGGATCCGGTTTTCCACGTCATGAAAATGAGCTCCAAGAAGAGGAACGCGCTTTGCATGGGGTCGGGAGCGAGCACTAGGAAGCCCTGACTATACAGTTTCTGGGGTGGGTGTGTGTGTGTGTGTGTGTGTATGGGCGGGACAGAAGAGTGGTGAGATGATAAATTGTTGAAATATAAAAACAGAAAGAGGAAGACCAAGCAAGAAGCAGCATTCCTTTGTGTTGGAGAAGGGAACTGGTGAAGTGTAGACATTTGAAACAAAACAAAATCAAACCAAAAACTCTCAAGGCTGCTTTGAGCCTCTAGTTTTTAAAGCTTCTCTCTCTTTCTCTCTGAACAGATGGGGTGGAAAGTGAGATTATACTTTGAGTTTTTTCACAGCACAGACACTTCCTCCAAAGACAGACATAAGGGGGAACCCAGGTCCCCAAAGCAGAAGAGATTAATCTGGCTGATCCAGTCAGAGTGTACCCAAAACAATCTCAGGCATTCTGGCAAACAGGGACCTGATTTCTCCTGAATTTTGCTTGGATTCTTTTGCACCATGAGTTGTTTTGCTGCACCTAAGAACCTTCAATTTCCCATGGAGTCAAGATTCAACAGCCTTGTGTCTGTTTCCAGAATTTTTTTGCTTTTCTTTAAAAAAAAAAACCAACACGAGACAGGCCAGGGTCCTGTAAGGCAAGGCAGGGTCACTTGGTGCATCTCATGTTCTGTCATCAGGAAAGACCTGTCATGGGTAAGGGGTGGAATAGGAGGGTTTGGATTTCTCTCTCCAAATGGCCTGGGGAAGTAGTGATGGTGACTGACAGAAGATGTTATCATGAAAGGGGCTACTGACCATCCTTCACGCAGGTCCTCCAAGAGGAATTTTCAAACTCTGGACAGTTTTACCCTTCCTACCTGCTGGGAGGGACTCCTGCTTTGTAGGGAACCGGTAGAGGCAAGAGTGCAGCAGAGGACGCTAGGTAGCTAGGTCTGTACCGTGCGTGTGCGTGGTGGATGCACCCCTCTTGTCCACCCTCCCTCCCACCCCTGCACAGGGAGAAGGGGGAGGGGAGGGGCTTTCTCACAGCTAGAGAACCGGACTCCAGATCTGTTGCCCAAAGGCTCAAAGTTAAGTCACACCCCCCCTAAAAGAAAAAGCCTTTCCCTTTTTTGCACTTTTTTCCAAAACCAAATTTAAAAGAAATGCACAGTTTATATGTCACTGTCTTAAGACCCTGAAATGCACAAATCACCTAACTCAATAAAAAAACCGCTCCTGAGAAGTCAGACATAGGGCGAGTTGCATGTCACTGTGCATTTAAAATGACCGCACATGTGTGCGTCTCTTCACAGTGGTGGGGAGGCTTGGAAACCGCGATAGGAGAATCAATCACCATGTGGACAGGATTCTCTCACATTCAACGCCCTTCATCTTCCAGACTCACCCTCTTTCCTTGGCTAGAGCTCTGCTGAGAAGCACACCAACACTGACAGGCTAGGCTCCAGTCCCAAACAGCCCCTTCTCTTTCTCCAGCAGCCAACCTCCCCCGCCCCGCCCCCCCACTTCTTTCTCCTCCTAACGCGCCGAGATAGGGGCTGTTTCCCCCTTTGCTGGAACCCAGGATGCGAAGGAATCTGTGGGTAAGGGGAGGACGCTATCCTCGGCTTCTCAGAGACAGTGAAGGGTCCTCTCTGCAGTCACTCTCCATTCTCCCATTACAATCCCCCTAAATGCTGGAATCAGGCCAAGTCCTAAAAGCTATTTCTCGTCTGCCCTTTCCTTTATCCCAGGAGAGCGTATCTAATAAAGAGGGCCCCAAAAGTTAGAGGGCTAAGGGTCCTGGAACCCGGATCTCTTCTGGGTCCTGCCAGGAGCGCCGAGCACCATTTGTTTGTCCAGGGGAGGACAAGAAGTCCTTTCTCCCCGGTGCCCCCGTCCCCGCCTCCCCCCACCCCCTCACCCCATCGCCTTGCCCTCCGAGAGCCCACTAATCTCGCCAGATCTAAGATGAAATATTCCAACATGGAAGCACACCACCATCTCCCCGAGAACACATAATTAAAATGCTGCATCACTGAGTTTCCGAAGAGCCCGGAGCCTTCCAAACAGATCCCTTGGCTAATCTTCCGGGGCCGGGCGAAAACGCACAATGGGTCTGTTGAGAATGGAGCCTGATTGCAAACTCGGGCCCTTTTTTTTTTTTTCCTCTGGACGAGGCGAAGCCAGCGGCCGATCGCGGGGGGAGGGGTCCTTCGCGCCAGCACCTGGCCTATTTGCTGGAGTTCCTTCCGACTCCCTCCCCCTCCAAGGAGGTCCGAGGGGGGATGGCAGTCTCCAGCTCCCCCCCGTCTCCACCATCATCCTCAGAGCTAGCAGAGAGAGCAGTGCCAAAATACCAACCCACCCTGGGCACCTGTGAGCTTGGGAAGACGCCGCGGTCCCAGTCGAGCTGCTTTGCAATCCACATCCGACAGGCGAGGAGCCCTGGCTTCAATTAGGCAAAGTGGAAAAAAAAAAAAAAAAGGATGGCGGCCGGTGCCTATGGTGCAGGGCGCGCACGACCTCCGAGGTTGGCTCCGAGGGGCTGCCCGGCGGGAGGTGCCAACTCCCGGCGAGGCTGAATTGTATCCATCGCGCTCGCTGCCGCCTCGCAGCGTCTTCCTGCCGCCGGCAACTTTCAGAAAGGCCCGCAGATCGCGCTTGTAATCCTTTCAAGTGTTTCCACCTTGCGAGCCGCGCAGGGAAATGGTCGCTGCATGGCGATGGGGGAGCCCGGCGCGCACCTAGCGCGCGCTGCCGGGGACGCGGAGCTCCGACCGCGGCGCCTTATGTCCTCGATGGCAGGCGGGCGGCCGGTGGGTCCCAGGACCTGCCTCGTTCGCTTTAAAACCCCAGGG